CTCCGTGATTCAATGCACAGAACTTTTACCATGATGATATCTCATGTCCCTTGAACGTTCCTAACATAACATGATGACTGCGTCATTCGGCGGAGTAGTTTCCCGATCCTCTGAATGCTCATAACTCTGCTACCCCCAAGATCGGATTGGAAACTACTCCGCTCCAAGCCCTATGAGCTCTCGAGCGGGATGCGCCCACGCGCGGAGCACTTGGAGCATTTCTACTCCGAACTATTCCGCGCTGATAGCCTACCGGCGACGGCAGACTGAAGGACATTTTCGCCACGGTGATGTAGTTTAAGACGATTGTGCGCGGCGCTCGGGAGAGAGCCTCACTCTGAAAAGGAACCGCACCCCATCCTCGATGCGGATGCTCCAGTCAACGCGAGTGTGCGCAGTGCTGGGGCGAAGGGTTCCTGTTGAAAACGCCACGTCCTCTCATCCTTTTCATTGTTGCAAGCTGAGGAGACGATTGTGCGTGGCGCTAAGGCGGAAGCCCCATCTGGCTCGCCCCCGTCCATCCCTGTAATTGTTGCGAGCTTTTCGGACGAATGTGCGCGGTGCTACGGCGAAGGTCCCACTTTGAAAACCATCCCCTCTCCACCGTCAAAGCTGTTACACATTCTAAGCTTCAGTGTCATAAGCAGTGTGGAAGTCTCAGGCGAAACGCCCGGCCTGCCCTACTGACACGCCGGGGAGTGCGACAAGGAGGAGTTAATCTAGGCAGGTAAAGGATGGAGAAGGAGGAGGAGGAGGAGGAGGAGGAGGAGGAGGAGATGGGGCGCCCGCGAAAAATTAGCAGAGTCCAGGCCCCCTGAAAAAACATCTCGAGAGTTCAGGCCCCTCACGAAAAAATGAAGAGCCCCAGTCTCGCGAAGAATGTGCCGGAGTTGCCTCCTCCGCCTTGGTATTCCAGCCTTGGTGTTTTTCCTTTCCTTTGCATTCCAGCCCCTCGGAGCATCTCCTGAGCTACTCTTGACAATGTACCCCTCATGAGCGTATCTACTAGGATGGCAATTCCAGCCCTGGTCGTGGTGCTTTACTCG